GTGTAGATAAATTGAAAGAAATGGCTTCTATTTCGTGTGAGAAAGTTTATGATACAGAAGATATTGGACCTGTAGCTACGATTAAAGGAAGTTTGTCAAGCATTCAACAATTAGCGGCTAGTTTAGCACAAAAAATGGCAGAATGTGAAAATGAATTAGCAATAAGTGGACATTTATCACAACAACGGGAACAAAATACGGAAAATGAATCTGTACAGCCTATTAAAATAAGAGCACAAGCAGCGAAAAAAGAAGCTGAAGAAATCAAGATACTTAGTAGGAAATTGGAAGCAAGAGATAGTGATATACTTGAAGCAAGATTAGCTCTTAGGGAAAAACAAGAAGAATTATGTGAAATGATTTTGAGAAAAGATGTTGTGGAGAAAAAACTTGCAACTCAACAACATGAGCATGAATTGAATGTAGAAAAATTAAAAAGAAAATTAGAAGAAGCATTAAATCAATTAAAACGAAAAGAAAAAGAATTTGAAGAAACAATGGATCATCTTCAAACAGATATTGACAGTTTAGAAATTGAAAGAGGCCAATTAAAAGAAAAATTAAAATCTGTTGGGAAAAAGACAATGTTGTCTGCATCTGGAACAGATAATATATCTGGAAGTATTACAACAACATCTGGACTTCAATCGATAGATAATAAATTTTTGATGCAAGAGATAACTGCCCTTAAAGAAGCATTAAATAGTGAAAATCAACAAAGGAAGAAGTTAATGTCTGATATATTACGTCAGAAATTAGAAAGTTTGGATCCAATAATTTCTCCATTAAAACAGGAATCAATTGATGCAAAAATACAAGAATTAAAACAAAAAACTAACGATCTTAGCAAAGTAAGTTATATAAATATAATTATTATATAAATAATAATTATGTTTAATAATAATAATATATAATAATATTCAAAACATATTCTTTTATATTTATTTAATTTTAATCAACATTTTTCTTGTTTTTAGAATATTAAACAAGTCATGACATTCCCTATCGTTCCTGATTTAAGGCGTAATAAGGCACATGATTTGGAAGGGCCACCATTAGAGAAAGCATTGCCAGTTTATCAACTGTTACAACGACAGATAGTTATGAAAGGATTAAAAGAACGAGCTGATCAATTGATCGTAAGTCATTAATTAAAAAATTATATATTTTTTATATATATATTTGTTATATATATATTTATGTAATTATAAATAAGTAAAATTAAATTTAAAATTTTTTTTTTAGAATGAAGTTCTTGAAGAAGTTATACAAAGAACAGTAGGTGGAATGGCTGAAGCCAATTTTGCAGTATTCCCAAATCGTGAAATGGCCGCGGCAATGCAAAAAAATCAATTGCTTGCTGCAGAAATTGCAATTCCTCATGAAGGTCAAGAACAAGTTTTTACTGTTAATGTAGGAACGCAGGAACTTAGGAAAATTCATACTTTGCTATGCTATTAATTTTCATTTGCTAATTCTTAATGCTATACATTAATGTGGCAGAATACATTACCACAAAAATAGTGGTAAGTGCAATATATTTGTAAAATATTAATTTGTAATGTTCGCTTTTTGATCACTTACACATAAGCTATGGTAGGCATACACACAATTAATCTATTTTATGTGTACCAAAAAACTAATAATTGATTTATTATATCCGATGAAAGGAACAATTTAAATTTAGTTAATTTTGGAGCGTGCGATTTTTATTTATTTATGAATTGACTACAGCACGATGACCGGTGCATTGTAGCTGATAGTCTGTCTCTAGTATTTTGTTATCTTAAACTCAATTATTATTATTATTATTATTATTATTAACAATTTGAACGATAAAATTATGTGTTTCTATGGTTTCTGTATAATATTTTTCGGGAATCGTCAAATATATGATTTAAAAATATTTACATAAATATCCTTTACATATCCCATGTGTTAAGAATATCGCAACACAGTTTTCGGGAGGAAGAATGTATATCGTTCATTTTGAACAACACGCTACTACCATTCTGAATAACTATAATAGTGTGTATTGCCATCAAAATTGACACTTAATGAAATAGAGACTATAATACAATGTTCCATTTTTTATTTTTTAGCAATAAAAGGAGCAATAAACTGTTGATGATTTTCATTATTTATGAAATAACGTATGTCTTAATTACTGTCATAATTTTATTATACATACACATGTGTATGTATGTATACCACATATATAAAGCATTATTTATATACAGAATATCTTGTGAGGTATTTAATGAACATTTTTCACGTGTTCGATAAGTCATTAAGAATAAAAAAAGAATATATAAAATTATAGACTTTTTTATTTTTATAATCAAGATAAATATTATTTAGATTTAAGTATAACGATAAATGCTAGGGTGGAATAAGATTCAATATTTTCTTATGTTTAATAGTATGTAAAATGTAGATTATATTTGTTATATTTACATAGAAATTTTGTTGCAATCAAAATAAAAATTATAGCATTCTAATAACAGTTTTCTATTACGATATATATTATTAAGGATATGTATAGGATTTTAAAAGGATTGGATTTTTTTCTATGATTGAATAAAAAAAAAATGAGAAAAATTGGTGCAGCACAATAAATACATTGAGTATAATGTGATTTACTCTTGTGTATACACAAGTTATTAATAACGATTAACATTCTCGTTATTTTGTTACGTTGTTATATTATTAATATTCTATTGTGATAAAAATACGATGGTAATGTTTATTGACAACAACAATTAACATTATATGCATAAATTGAAGATTGCCTATTTAATAAACATTTAAGATAGAAAACCATAATTAGATATAATTTTACTACACATGTAATGTGTTTTCTTTAACATAACTGGATAACAAAATTAAATAGAAGTATAAAGTATATGACATTTTTTTATTCAGAATGATTTGCTGAACACGTGGGAAAAATCTGTTGAATACCTCGCGGGACATCCTATATATACACACATACATACCAGATAATAAGTGCATATAGCATTAATTATTCATTAATTTACCCATTCATTCATTCTCACTGCATAGTAGTACACACTTTTACTCATTAATTTTTCGTTTCCTTATTTTTTAATAATAGCAATAATATTAATAATAAAAATAATATAATAATAATAAACCATACATTCACTCAAAGATATTTTATGATTATATCTCTTTTTTTTTAAATTACTGTCTAAAAATTTCATTAAACAAATTGTCCTCCCAAAATATAATGGTACACAAGATCCAGTCGTATTCCTTCTATCTTAGTTCATACTAAAGCTGACCAGATGTTTTTTGTCTTTTTTCGTTTTTTTTTTAATTTTCGATTTTTGTTTTTTTTTTTTTTTTTAGAATATTTTCATAGTAAGAACATGAGTTAACATCATTGATTATACATCATTTTGGAAGTAGTGCTTGGAACATAGACGTGAATATTGGCGCAACTAGAACGATTGAAAAAAAAAAAACAAAAATTTTCAATGACAGAAACGAGTCTTTCAAAACTGCTACAACGTGTAACGTGACTTTGTGTATCATTATGCATATTAACAACCAACTGATCAATCGATTAAAGATTTCTATAAGTCACGTAGTGATTAAACTTAATATCGAAGCAATAGCACGGGAAATACCACTGCGCACAGTCTCTGCCATTAAAACTATACGGAAGAAGTCCTTTGGCTGGATCTGGTTACAGAATTGCTTTTCATGCATCAATTTATGTACTATTTTTATATCTTTTTTTCATTTCAATGTAAAGCAAACCTGTAATTCATCTCCAATACAGAAAAGTCTGTTTAATGTTCATTTTATTTATCATAATCGACTAAATATACTCACAGAAAGAAAGAGAGTAAGGAGTGAAGTTTTGTTAGGTCAGAATCATCAATAATTTGTTCGTTTCTTGATCGATACAATGTATCTAAAAATTAAATTGCTGCCTTAATAGTAATATTACTTCCAGTACTTATTTCAGATACTTCCACTTATTTTTATGTACGCATTTATGTGTACGCTGTATATATATAAATATATATACATATATACTTATATAAAAAGATATATGTATAAGTATATATATACATATACTTGTAAAAAGAAAATGTTATCAGAACCAATAGTATCAAAGCAAAATCCTTGATACCGTTGACATGATAATTTATGTAAGAAAGATACAATGGACTTTTGAATAGTTTGAAATTTGAACAACTTAAAAACTTAAATAAAAAATTCGAGAAAAACTTTCAAACAAAATATAGCTGTAGTAGTATCAATCTGTTTAATGAAAATGCAATGAAATATTTTGGAAATTTAAAAAAAATAATATTATATAGATATTTAATGAAAAATTAAGCAGTGATAAATAACATTAATTAATTACAACTAGTAGATTGCAGATAAAAATTAATTGATTGATAAAATATTATATATGTATTAGTATAAATAGAAATATATACTTATTAAAATTATTTTATTATTATTTACCAATATGATATTTTGAAATAGGCACTCTAAATGTTTCATATTGTGTAAATTTTGAAAATCTAAAACAGATTAATTCAATTCAAATATTGAATGGAAATTTAATTTGTAATTTGTCTTTGGAATAAATTATGTATCAAGAAATTCAAAAGTCCATTGTATTAAAATTTCTCTCAAAAGATGCATACATTATACTTATGTATAGTACTGAGAATAAAAGAAAAATCAGGAAGCAACAAACTGTATTTATCCCTCAGTACACTTACTTATATATTTTCTTCATACTCTCATATGATCATTCACTCGTCTTCACATTTCTTTCTCTCTTTGTAGAATAGTTATAAAATTTTTTATATGATGTACTCAATTAATTACCCCGAATGCTTAAAAATATTCAAAATGTTCTTTCTCTCTTTCTTTCTATGAAAATTGTTTGTCGGATTTTTCAATTAAATCACACATTACATCATTACGTGTAATCTTTTACAAAGGTCTTCGGGGCATCAAAACCTTTATTTTCAATTATTATCAACGGTGAATTAAATAGATAATAACAAAATAAGAACAAGCCACCTCTGGCTGATCTCACTTGGATTTTAAGCCCAAAGAGGTGGATCAACCAAAACTCTAAGCACTGAGAATACACTGAAGTTTTCACTAATCAGTGAATTCACAAACATGTACCCGTGGCATTGTCCTTTACTTGTGTACGATACGCTTGTAATCGTAAATCTCCTCTTTAGTATTAACTTAGAGGATTGATTGATTTGACTCTTTGCATGGCATTCGTACAAAGTTGAGTACCTGGTCTTGGACACATCAGTGACTGCAAATAGGTTTGATGCAATGAGAAGTAATTATAATTTTATCCTTTCTGAAACAAACAATAAATTATGTTTTACAAAAAAGAATCAAAAATGAAAAAAAAAAATGATATAATTATTAAATAATCAAAATAAATTAAATATTTTCATATAGACATGCATCTTATACTTAATTATATTATATTATAAAAGTTATCTTAAATCTCTAAATTGCTATCATATATTGCTATTATAAACAATTTATTTCATATATACTAAAATATTAAAAATAATGTATATGCAATATGATTTGAAATATAGAAAAGAACACCTGGTTGAGCGTTGGTTTGCGCGGGTGGTTGACCTTGGGCTTGCCCTTGCCCCTGAGCATTTTGAGCGGATTGACTTGGACCACCTGCAGTTATTGCAGTAGCAACACAACTTTTCTGTTTTAACATTGTCCAATCAAAAGTATAATCATATTGATGATTCAATGTACGGAAAAGTATACGGAAAAGTTGACGAAGATACATATAATCTGGACTTTCTTCGAAACGTAAACCTCGTGTATAATTCAAATACATTGCGAATTCAGCAGCAAATCCCTAAATAAGATTAAAAAAATAAAGTAGTTAATACATTATAGTATAATATATTATAATTTTATATTTATAATATAAAACTTACTTTACACAAAACTTCAACTGGAGTAGACATCTTTTTTTCGCTTATTTTTTCATATTTTTGCTTTTTAGTAGCAGCTTTAAGTCCTTGCCAAGGTAAAGATCCTCGATTGAAATACATAAGCACATAACCAAGTGATTCCATGTCATCCCGACGGCTCTGTTCTATTCCAAGATGTGCATTAATTGAAGCATACCTTGCTGTACCTGTTAAATTTTTATCTTCTCGATACATTATGTGCATTCTTGTACGGCTATCTCTATATTTTTTAGCTAATCCAAAATCGATAAGAAAGAGCTAAAAATTTAAAAATAATTAATATTTCAAGAAAAATTAATATAAAAATATAAAAAAAAAATAATATTTAATTAATTACCTTATTACAGTGACGACCAATACCCATTAAAAAATTATCTGGTTTGATGTCTCTATGAATAAAATGTTTGCAATGAACATATTCAATCCTACCAATCATTTGATCTGCCAACATTAAGACTGTTTTAATTGTGAATCTTCTTGTACAAAAAGTAAAAAGATCTTCAAGAGATGGACCAAGAAGATCCATGACAAGTACATTATATTCTCGTTCCTGTCCATACCTATATATAATATAAAGAAATAATTTTTTATGAAATTGTATTTCTAAAATTTTAAGCAAATTTTTGTTATCAATTTTATAAATTAGCTATATATTAAATAACATTAAAAAAATACTAATCAAAAAAAGCTATTAAAAATAATTACCAACGTATATGAGGTATTCCTACACCACCATGTAAAATTCTATATAGTTTTGACTCATATAGAAGTTGTGGATGTCGAGCACGTACACTTTCTAATTTAACAGCAACTTCCTAAAATAATGCCCAACATAATGCATATATTGTTATCATTGCATAAAATATTTATATATAAATTTTAAATGTTTAATTTTATTTTTTTTATAATTATCAATTTAATTCATATAATTATAGAATATAGGTTTTAAAATTGAGGAAACAAGTATTTAAATATAGATATGATTACTTCTGTTTAATATTTATTGAATAAATAAATACAATATACATAAAAAATTATACACAATTTTATTCTATAATATTTTTATTATATTAGTTACTCAAATATTATATATTAAAATTTATATATAATTTGCCTATATATATTAACTATATATTACTTTATTTTTGAATTGTTTAACAATTGACATAAAAATTGATAATACATGTTATAAATAAAATTATTGTATAATATTCATAAGCATAAAATATAAAAACAAAAATTCTTATGTAAAATAAAAAATTTAACATCTTGAAGAGCTATATTTTACTGAAAATAATTCATATAAGGATAAAAAATACATTCCATAAATTTAATAAAAATAGATTTTAAATGTGAAATTTATGTGCAACAAAAAAGAATTTTAAATATATAAAAACAATTTGTAAATAACTATTTGCTACAACTACTTTATAATAAACATATACGTATTTTAGTTACAAATACTACTTATAATTGACACACGTAAACAATACATACATCAGTATTCTTTTTTATATATAGAGGTTAATCACATTGTAAAAAGTTAGATGAGTTTGCAGTTAAACAAATGTACTCATAAAATTTTTGAAAATAGCCCAGGTAAATCGGTCGAGTATATATAACTTTACTGAAATAAAAAATTTACAACTTGCCAATCCTTCAAGAAAGAACAATAAGTATTTCACGTAACCAATAACACTATCATAAAAAACATATTTCGTAAGAAGTTTAGTAGTGACATAATAAAAAAAATTTATTCATGATAAAAATGAGATAAATAACTCATTATAAAGACAATGAAAAAATAAAAAGAAATTAAGAAAGACAAGAGGGAAGATGTGTTGGCAGATCGTCTCACGTGAAACGGTACTCCTTACCTCACCATTAGAGATGTTGATACCGAGGTAAATGTCGCCAAAGGATCCCGAGCCTATCTTCCTCAACAGCCTGTATTTGCCACCTACGATAAACTCATTCTTTGCTACTGACATCGCTAATTGTATCGTCGACATATTGCTCCTGGCTTCCCTATTTCTGTCCTTCCTCCGCTAGAACCGACGGCGGACTCTGCGACTGGCTCACGTCGGAATCAAATCTGATTTAAAGTACTAAGCGTACCCGATAGAACTTATACGCCATTTACTGGCAAACTGGACAATATTGAGTCTTCTTAAAACCGTATCGATGAAAGATTTTCTTCGATAAAAATTCTATTCGGACGAAAATTCACTCTCTAGTGGCACAACAAAGCCCCACTAATACGCCGACATTTTCCCTTTCGCTAGAAGCACGAGAGCAACTGACGTTGCGGAAACGATGCGTCACGGCGGGCGGCGTTCAAGTCAGAGTCCTTATCAACGAATTGCTATTAATTAACTATATTATCTTTTTAACCAAACCATCCGCAAACCTTTTATTTTAATAACAAGAAAAATTTCGTTTGACTAAGATGTGAGTTTAGCACTGCCTCAAAATTTAATTGTACGAAATGACTCGCTTGAATTCGCGGTACTAGATTTTCTTCAGGACCGTATCAATATTACTACAATTCTTCGAATGAATCTTTCTCACAGTGACGTTTGATCAAATCGAAACATGTGTTATTAAAATGTTATTCTATTTGGTTTAGTTTTTTTACATAATAATTATTTAATATTCAATAGAAAAATTAATAATTTAAAGATTAAATGAAAATAAATATATAATAATAATTTCGAAAAATTTTTCGAAAATTTTCTTTCTATGTTTTTATACTTTTTTTCATATTTTTATATTTTATTTCATTTTTTACATATTTTTATAATTGATATGAAAAATTAGCACAGATTAAAAAAATTGATCAAATAATTTAAAAAGATTTTATTTTCTTTATTTGATATTAGTATATTTTTATTATATTTATTATTAAAAGTATAAAATTACATTTTTAAATAATTTTTTTATAAAACAATCATATCATTAATAACAATATCATAGATTTGAAAATTTTTAAATCTGTAAAAAATATCTACAGTATTATAAGCAATATCTATATAATTTTCATTTTAAATTAATATAGGTCAAAAGTACCATTACTTCTTTTAAGATGTATATGTGATTATAGATACACTACTGATTTTACCGGAACCTTGTGCTACTTATTAGAAACGAAATGTTTTTTGTATTTCTTATTTATAGTTTATTTTAAACAGAAAAAAATTTTGATTAGGAAATATAATAAGTATTTTTTGATTTATAATTTTGTAGATATTATGCAGTGTAAAATACTTTAAATTTTGTAAAGCGACATCTAAGTTATACATAGTTAAATAAAGACGTAATAAAAACTTTTTTCACGTTTATATTATTAAATTTATTAATTAATTATTGAATGATCGATGGCAATTATTTCTCAAAATACAATACGATTGCCAATATTAGTATTTGTGAAAAAAATTTTTATTGATACAAATAATTACAATAAGAGATCCATTATGACAACTCGTATAAAGTTTGAAAAAGTTTTGGAAAATCTCGAGAAAAATCCTTTTTTTGAGAAATATGCTAATAAAATAGCTAAGTTACAACAAACTAGTCCAGAAGAATTCTTACAACGTGTTAAAAATCAAGAAAAATTACAAAAAAAAAAAGGTACAATCTATTATTATAGTCTCTATTATACAATATTAAATAAAAATCAATTTACTTATTTGATTGTATAATATACATTTATTATTATTTAAAATGTTATATGTCATAATAAAATTTTTTTTTAAATATTTACTTAGTCAAACTTTACTTACAAACTTACTTTAGTCAAACTTTAGTTTTTAGTCATGATAATTAACCATAATTGTTATATATTATTTTGATTTTTTGATGTATTTTATTATAGTTATTATATTTTTTGATGTATATATATATATATATATATTATTAAATTAAAGAAAAACAGGAAGAAGAATATAAATTTTATCAAAGTGAAGCAAAACCACACTTGAATCAAACCAAACAACCTCAACAAGCAAAATTAAATAGTATAATGAAAATGGATATGATTCAAAATATGAGAAAAGATGAGATTATAAAAATTTGGAAAGATTACCATAAAGATAAAGATTACATATGTGGAATATTAACATCAGAGCAATTTGATAAAATGTTTGAGCGTGGAAAGCGCTATTCAACATTTTTATTGCCATTACCTAGAAAACAAGGATATGAGTTTATAGTTAGTCAATTTTATGGATTAGAAATTCATATGACACCACTTATATGGTATCAAACACATAAAGAAAATGCACCAGAATGTTTAACTATGATTCATTATATAGAATTTAAAGATAATAAAGGAATTATTCTTATGCGGGGTGAATTTGATAAAAAATGTATTTCTGTGCAAGAAGCACAATGTTTAGTAAATGAATTACAATTATATTATTGTACAGATAATATTAAAAGATTACAACTTTTAGAAACTTTCACTAATAAACCTGATGAATTTAAATATATGAATCTAATAACACAGTTAGAATCAATACAATTAGAATTAAAATAATTGTTTTCATATAAAATTTATTATAATTATATTTTATTGGATATTAAATAGATATATTGAATTTGTACATAGTGTTTTCAAAATAAATGACAAAGTAAAAAATTTATATTGAGTTATTATTATAATATTACAATAATATTTAATTTTTAAGTGTTTTATATTTTATTTATGTATATATATATATATATACATATATATATGTATATTTTTTAAATAATTCTGATATTAATTTTAATTCTAATTACAGTCCATCTCTCAAAGTCTTGTCATATTCAGTCTTTATTTCCATTTTTAATAACGAGAACAAAACCATCATGGTCTTATATTAAAAAAAGAAATTTTAGTGATAATGCAGTTAAAAATATATATATTACTACACCTATATTTTACGTTAATGCTGGTAATATACATGGAAATTTTTTTTGTAATAAGAGAATATATTATGAGAAATTATAACAATGATTTAATTTTTTTTTTAGGACCACATATTGGACATCTTTATACAGCAGTTTTGGCAGATACTATAGCTAGATTCAATGCTATGTTAGGACATTCTGTATTTTTAAGCACTGGTACAGATGAACATGGAACAAAAGTTCAGAAAGCTGCAAACAATGCAACTTTATCTACTTCTGAATATTGCACTCAAATTTCACATCAATTTCAAGAAATGTGTAATATATTTCAAGTTAAATACTCAAAATTTATTAGAACAACTGAAGAACAACATCAAAATGCAGTTGTTCATTTTTGGGTTATTAAATTTATAAAGTATTAATTTTAAATTTAATAAGTTTAAACATATTAACACATAAAGTTATAATTTTATAGAACTGTTTAGAAAAGAATGGACACATTTATCGAGGAAAATATTCAGGCTGGTATAATATATCAAAGGAAGCATTTATCTCGAATAAAGAAATAATACAAAAAAATCTTATAAATATTAATGAAGAATATACTGACTCAGGAGATATAGTAGAATGGATGGAGGAAGATAGTTATAAATTTCGTCTTACTTCTTTTAAAGATGAATTAAAATATTGGTTGAAAAATGGTAGATATATTATATAATATATTATATAAGATATAATATATATTAATTATATATATATAATATATATATAATATATTATATAAGATAGTTATAAATTTCATCTTACTTCTTTTAAAGATGAATTAAAATATTGGTTGAAAAATGGTATAATATATTATATAAATATATAATATATTATATAATATATATTATAATATAATTCAATTTAATTAATTTTTTTTAATTAATAGAAATTATAATTTTAATATTTATATTCAGAAAATGTAATAGAACCGGCGATATATCGCAAAACGTTGATTTCATGGTTAGAAGAATTACAAGATTTAAGTATTTCTAGACCTATCGATAGAGTGCCTTGGGCAATTCCTACTCCTTCCGATGAATCTCATACAATATATGTATGGCTGGATGCATTAGTAAATTATTTAACTTCAGTAGGATATCCAAATAATTCATTTAAAGAATTTTGGCCACCAACTATACAAGTGAATATCTTTAATCTAATATAAATATAATATAGAATAAAACTCAAGATTAAAGAAATCATTATACAAATCTAAGAATATTTATATTAGATTATAGGAAAAGATATTCTAAAATTTCATGGTATATATTGGCCAGCATTTTTAATGGCTGCTGGCTTGGAACCACCAAAAAAACTTATATGTCATGGTCATTGGGCTATTAAAGATAAAAAGATGTCAAAATCTAAAGGAAATGTAATTTCACCTTTTATCGCGATGAATGATTTTACACAAGACGGCCTTAGATACTTTCTTTTACGACAAGCAGTATTGGACACAGATGCAAGTAAGGCAAAAAATATATAATATATTGTAAACATTTTTCATTGTAAAAATTAATATTTTATTTCTTCTTTGCTTAGATTATAATAAATTAAAAGTTCAAAAAATATTAAATTCTGAACTTGCTGATACATTAGGTAATTTAGTTAATCGTTGTTTTGGTAAAAGTATTAATCCAGATAGAATAATATATAATTCAACTGAATACAAAAGTATTTTAAACTCTGAAATAGCTCTTAAAAATATAAAAGCTTTGGAAAATTTAAGTGAAAAAGCTAGAAAATGTTATGAGAAAAATGATTTATATCATGCAGTAGATAATGTGATGGATACGTTACGCACTGCTAATCAAGTATTTGAATATCATCAACCATGGAAGTTAAGCAAATCTAAAGATCTTGATTCTGTAAAACAGCTTGAAGCTCTGATATCATTAGTTTTGGAAAATTTACGAGTGGCAGCTTTAGTATTATATCCCATTATACCACAGTTATCTTCCAATCTTCTCGATTTTCTTCAAGTTTCGATAAAAAATCGTAATTGGGAAGATACAAAACCACTTCATTTAACAAATGACTCGAATGAAACAAGACATGTTTTGTGTCAGAATATATTATTTTTTAAGAAAATAAAAAATTAAGAAAACATTGATTATTTGAATCATTAATATTAAATATATATATATATATATGCTGATATAGGATAATAAGGATGTAATAAAACAGTGCAAATTTAATATTCGCATGGATGTCTTACGTTTATATATTTACAGAGAACGGTCATTCAAATATATCATTAGTATACATCGATTTCGTGCACGTATCATTCCGACAGGAAAAACATAGAATCTATGTTTTTATTTTATCGTTTCTCCCTCATCGGAACGTACTACACTTAGCAAATCGCTGATGTAGATGATGGAAGAGATTCAATGAATGTCGGTTGCATATCGCGAGAATTTCTTTCGTTTAGATAAGTGGCGCAGATTTGAGTTAGATTCGACGGGTTGCATAACAACTTTGCGACACGTTAACACCTAAACGAAATATCGCTTACAATGCAAAGATACGTGGAGATCGCGTGTTTGTGTCCCGTCAAATAGAAAAATAAATAAATGACTATTTACAAGATGGAAAATGAATCTGTGCGGATTTCACCGCGATTCTAGTACTAATATAAGCTACGATTCGATAGACGTTACTATTAATACTTCATGTAACATCCAATTTTATATCGTAGATGCGCTATTAACATGATTTTATAATTACAATTGCTTTATGAGAAATGTTATCTAAACTCTATAGTAGAATTTCTCTACGCACGAATTTTTATTTATTTACCTTATTTTGTTCTTTCTTCTTATTTTTATAAATTGATATCCTCCTGTTCGATCCTGTTAGATAAATTCACTTTATTCTTTTTTGTTATAAGAACAGATTATGTCTCATGGATATGTTTCGAATCACTTCCCGATGATTGTCTTTTCGTAAATTGATTTCTTAACCGTCCGTTATTTATTATCGACAAGTTTTCTTTCCTTTTCATCGTCCGTGGATAAAAAAAAAATATTCGGCAAAAGAATTCACATATAATTTTGTTATTTAAGACGAAAGGGAATAAGAGAGAAAAGCAGCATATTATTACACGGTGATAGTACCGATGATATTGATCACGATGGTAAAATTTATATTATTTCAAGATACTTTATATATATAAAAAATATGCGATTTAACTTTGGTTGCGATGCTCGTTGCAGTTAATACGAGAAATGTATGGAATATTTACTCAGCAAAAGATTTTCAATAACGAATTCAATATCTCAAGAAATATTTATAAACTTTACGTTACAATACGTTCCCAAGATGATGAAATGGTAAAATTTGTCGTTGAAGTTGATTATGACGGTCGCAATTGCTGTTTTAAATGTTCGTATGTAAATCTCGTTCAATCATATCGTAACCATTATCATAAGCAGACTTGAAAAATTATACTATGGATATGTTCGTGTAACATTCTTCGATTCAATTGATTAATTCGTACCAAGAATGTTGAATGCCACGCAGAAAACTGGCGACAGGAAGGAGGTAATATTTCCATCACGATTTTATTTACGTCTTATTAATAAAATGATTTATATAGAATCGATAAATCGTGATGGAAAACCGTGAACCATAATTACCATAGGATCGCAATTACCGTTCGATAGGAAGATCGATAAGTCCGAGGAAGAGAGACTCGAATCGAATTATATCGCACTCACGATAGTATCGCGGTGTCTTTGCGCCATTATACCAACTTGACAACTGTCCGCGCTTGATCTTGGACTGATATTACATTCGATCATGGACCCGTTTCGTTTTTGTACGACCACGGATCGAAATTCTCCGCATTCGCTAGTCGACGGTTGATTTCCACGGGCGCGTGCACCCTTTGTGAGAATTCTCTTGAACGCTTCTCGGAATTCTGTGTTAAAGATGCTGTAGATGATCGGATTGAAGGCCGAGTTGCTGTAGCCGAGCCAAGTGAGTACCTATTACATAGCAAGCTTTGTTTTTCTTTTTCTTTTTTTGCTTTGTTTTTTTATGATCACATTACAACAGCGGAGAGCCGTTCAAAAATGCCCTTAATATTTATATAATTTATAACGAATTCTTCAAACAAATAGATATCTGAAATGTCATTGTCATTTATAATTTATATATAATTATAATTATTTAATGATTTAATGAAAAAATGTAATGGCGACAAAAGTAAAAATTCCTTTTTTTTTTTTTTTTTCACGAAAGGTGAATAATTAGGTTTAATTAAGTTCGAGCACGGTTCTGCATGCGTATATTCCGTTCGAAATCATAGATTATGTAGGGAAAAAAGAAACATTCATACTTGAAACGCTCGGCCTGATATGCAGGTCTTGCAATACGAAGTGACGATATTTACGCAGAAAAAGGGTACCCAACATATTAAGAAAACGCCCATAATTACACCAACTGTTATAGCGGCTTTATGATCGGATACGTGATAGGGACTTGTTGGCTTCGTTTTTGTTTGCGGCTTCGGCGGTTTGTTGCGTGTACTTTTCGCACGAAAACTCTTGGCCATTGAGGTGTCCGGCAGCTTCGTTACTGCACGGATACTTTTTACGTGTTTCTGTGCGTAGCAATAGAGCCTAGAGGAAACATTAATCGTATTACATATCACTTTTTTTCCCTCCCCCCTATTTGTCAATTTAATTCTATTCAATATTCTTTGAAATTTATTTATACTTACCGGCAATATATTCCCAGCATTACGATGCAGGGCACGTAAAAAGATATAGAAGAGGAAACTACCGCATAGGTGGGTGTAAGATCTAAGGCGCATGTAGGATGTTCCTGAAAGAGAAAATAGACTCGCAATTCTTTAAAAAGGAAAAAAAAAAGGATAATTTTATCCTCGAACACAAATATACATCAAATTTCGTAAACGAATAGAGGAATAATACTTATACTTTTTCTTCTGTTTATTATATCGTATTTATCGAAAATCGATTATAATTAAATTATATATATTATTAAATCGTACGTACTTCTTTGCTATCGTCATGAACAACAGGTTCATTTGCACGGTGAAGGCCTAGGCTGATCGGCACGAAGGATATGAGTCCTGCGAGCAACCATACGACAGCGATTCCAGCAACCGCAACCCTTCTCGTCACCCAACGACCGTATCTAATTTGCGTAACGACAACGAATGAAATAAAATGAAATGAGAGAGAGAGAGAGAGAGAGAGAGAGAGAGAGAGAGAGAGAGAGAGATGAAAAGCGACAAAAAAGAGAAGAGAATGCTCGGTCCTGGGTCGGATACTTGCCTGAGAGGATCCTTTATGTGTATGTAACGATCGAGAGAGATCGCGCAAAGATTCAAAATAGAGGCAGTGCTGCACATAACGTCGAAGGCGATCCAAGTGTCGCAGAATCGCGGCCCGAATACCCAATAGCCGAGGAGATCGTTCACCCCGGCAAAAGTCATAACCAGACAACCGACGAAAAGATCGGCGATAGCGAGGGAGGCCAGGAATAAATTCCCTATTCTCCGTAAACCGCGGTCCGTGTAAATTGCCACACAGACTAAAATGTTCCCCGCCACGGATAAAAATATCAAGATCAGGAAGAGAAATCCTGAAAAGAATCGGGGGAACAAGGTGGACTAGTTGGAGAATCGATGGAGTTTGCTCAAATAATATCACTCACCCCTCGAAGAGCTGAGTTGAGATGCATCGAATTATTATGGGCGATTATCGGGCGATATTTTTTTTCTTTTTTTTTTTTTTTTTAATTACGACATTTAAGAAATATATCCAAACGAAGGGACATCGTAATTATCGTGAATGAATTTTTTTTTTTTTTTTTTTTTTTTTTAATTCTTATGAAATGATTGAGTTCCGTGAAGAAAAATGAAAATGAATCGTAAAAGAAGAGGTATCTCGAAGAGGAACGTTGATATATTCCGTTTGTGGAAATTATTCGATTAATGAGAGAAAAAGGATCAACGGAACGAAGCGAATTGCAATTGCAAATGCACGAAGATAAGAAAGATAAGAAATATAACAATGATATATGGACGAAACAGACGAGAAGAAGGAATTATGGGTACTGCTATTTAGAAACGAGGAGGAGATAAAGAACGAAATAGGAAGGGAATAGAGAGAGAGAAAGAGAGAGAGAGAAAGAGATAGATAGATAGATAGATAGAGAGAGATAGATAGCGAGCTTAGATCAAAGTTTTCGAGTGAAGGTCCTCCTAGAGGGTTGCCTTCGAGGGGCGAGTCGCGATCGATCAAATGGGAAGTTTAGCGAACCAACTAGAAGCACCGACAACAGCGAGAAAGTGTCTTCAGGCAGATCTTCTTTCCCGTCTGTCAGGTTGTTCTGTGAACAGAGAACAAGAAGATTTGCTGATGTAAAAATCGGAAACATTTTTTACACACAATGTTGTAATTTATGCAATTCGCGAAATGCGTTTTCCATTTTCCAACATGAATAATCGAGAATTATTACGTAATTCACCTTCTTCTCTTATACGCGCGCAACACAATCTTTTTCTTTCCATATCGGATCGAAATGGAGATAAAAAGTTTGTTGTCTAAAAATCTATCATCTTGGATTTCCTCTTCCGTTTGAGAATGGCACATTGCCAAGGGGAGGGGGGGAAAAAATAAAAAGCGTTCGCGTACGCTTTTATTTTTTTCCTTTTTTATTTTCCCTCGATATTTCACTCGAAAGCCTTATATATACGTTTAGAATATACTTTTGATATTCGCATTCACGGAAAATCGATAACACGGACGGACCAAGATGACGCAGGATTTACAAGGCTCTTTACTTCCGCTCGAACGCGTTGTCTGTCAAACCGTCTTCTATCCCATCTCGAAGAATACGTAAAAATATTACGAGACGAAGCGAGATACGAAAAGTAAAGCTTCCGCTGTATTTGTGCAATACGGTTCGTCGATAATATTTCTAAAAATTCTTATTAACATGCATTCGAACAGATCGATCGTTACTCTTTCGTACGAAAAGTAAAGCTTCCGCTGTATTTATGCAATACGGTTCGTCGATAATATTTTTTAAAATTCTTATTAACGCACATCATTACGTTTTCGTACGAAAAGTATTTATGCAATATAATTCGTCGATAATATTTCTAAAAATTCTTATTAACGCACATCGTTACTTTTTCGTACGAAAAGTATTTATAAAAGTAATATAATTCGTCGATAATATTTCTAAAAATTCTTATTAATGTACATCGATTCGATTGATATCATTACTCTCCCGTTTTCTGTCCCGCGAATACTTTAATCTTCGCGATTATTCATAAGCGTTTTTATTCCATTTAACACGTTCTTTCGCCTGCTTTCTCTTTAAATTTTCGTTCTTGTTACGGATCTCGATTATCCATTGTCAAATCAATTCAATTCGCCAATTAGCAATTAACGTTCCATGGATCGATTATGTGTAACATATTGGGTAGCTCGAAATTTAAATATTTTTTTCCAATATTCCTCAAATCAAAGTCAGTTTTGAAAAGGGACAAAGAGATTAAAATGCAACGTTCGATTTCTCTTTTTTTTTCACATCGCTAAAAAAGAGCAGTATTTATAATAATCGAAATCCTTCGTTTTACGATTTTATCTCGATTGTCCCGTTGGAAAAAAACCTCTCTCTACACCGCTTGCATTGATTTTCTGAACGTAGCGCGGGACGCATGCATATGCAAAACAAGGGAAAACATTTCATTGTGGTTGCACACTACTCTCGCCCTTTTCCTCCGGTCGTTACTTAATTAAAGAAGAATTAAATTTAATTTAACCACAGTAAATCGTTAACGCCATCTTACATTTGCAACAACACTTAAGATAATATTAGATTTTTCAAGATGGCGAATTCATTCTCACGATTTGAATTATTATTTATATATATATATATATTATTGTTGAAATTACATTTCAATCTGCTAGTTGTTAACTTTTTTCATTTTCTTCTTCGTTTAGTCGAGTATTTTTAAGGAAGTGAAAAAGAAAAAACTATTCTTTACGTTTTTTTTATTTGATTAAAATTCTGTACCTGCTTTTCTTTTCTTTTCTACGTAGTTGCGTTATAGAGTGTTCTATAAATATCAATTCTTCTTTTTGACACTTGTAAATATCTTTGCCCCCCCTCCCCCTCCTCCCCTCAGTTTTACAAAATTCGTCATTATTTTTTTTCGCAAAAGATTTACATGTAATTGTAACGAAACGAAGGAACAATTTATTTTCGACGAGTCAAAATGCATGGGATGGAAAAAGTTAATAATTTAGGAGGGGAAAAAATTATATTCTAGCTTAACTCGTATAATTTTTTGAATAATCCAAAATAAAAAAAAAAAAAATAAAAAAGAATCGATCAAATATTCAGTTGTTTCTCAAAACAATTATTTCAACTCCATTAAAACAGCAGTACTTGGTTGCATTACATACATGATTTCCAATATGTGCACGAGCAAATGTTCTTTCTCGGCTTCAGTTGCTAGTACGTATTTTGAAATTGAGCAATATGTTGTATCCCCGTTGGCTCGAGCACGAAGAGAGAAAGAGAGAGAGAGAGAGAGAGAGAGAGAGAGAGAGAGAGAGAGAGAGAGCGGATAGAGGCTTATACGGCGCAATAAATTCTTGATGTTGGATACAAAATTGAAATTTCTGTTATTCGATATACAGGGATCGTGGGAAAGATTAGTCGATGGATAATAACTCGAGATGCGCTCGTACTACTGGGAATATATACCTATTTCTCTTAAATAATATAAAATTCATGTATATTATAATATTTACTCTACATTGCAACGAGTTTACGCGCAAATGCAAGGATAAACAAAGCGTGATATCTTTTTTGGCGCAAAGAGAAACGTATCCTGGTAAACCTGATCTTGTATATATCTTTAAAATTCAACCATCGATATCGAACGAGTAACAAGTCTTTTTTTTCTTTTTCTTTTCCTTTCTCAAAAAAAAAAAAAAAAAAAAAAAAAAAAAAAAAAAAAAAAAAAAAAAAAAAAACGAATAGAAATCCCTGAAATAATCGAAAAGTGATAAAGCGAATGAGTAAACGAGACGCGTGTCGAATGATGGAACACGTGCGCACACCTGTGAATTTGTATCCATAGAAACATCGTAAAAATCTACGATGCACTATATCGGTATACACGTGGCTTCATTACGCAATTTCAAATAGAATTTTCTCGACGCGACGCCAAGATCAAGAACGTGGAATTTATTTATTATCCACGGACCTATAAATCCGTAAATTTTTATCTCTAACAACGCACAATTTCAATTAAGCTTTTAATCAAACACATTCCCCCGCCGGAAACGAAGATTCGTTTTATTTATTTACGCGCAAACCGATTGGCTCGCAAAGAATCATCGTGTGCGAGGTTAATAAGGATTAATCGTTCTTGGTAATTGAATTTTCGAATTCATCCCGCCTCAAAACCGTGCTGCATAATAATTCATCTGGGGGATATATGCATATACGTATACGACCTGGTGGGCTCCACACCCGATCGAATTAATTAATTTTCCCAAATCTCGTTAACGTCGAACATTTTTATTTCTCAATCTCGATTCTCGACCGAGACGAGATATCCGCGGATGCGTCTCTGCATTTAATATCTAGGGTGGGAGGGGAAAGAGAGGGGGGGGGAGGAGGAGATTCGTGTTTAAAGGAGCGAGCGGACATTTCTTGCCTGCTTTATCGGCTCGAGTGGGCGCCACGGTATCTATTACATTCAATAATGCGGAATTCGGTTGGAGAATTGGTGGGATTCGAACGTGTCGAAGGGCGCATGTCGAGCTAATTAGAGCATTAACGGGCTTGTTTGTCACGGGTATATAGCGAAGATAATGCAACAAGAGCGATTCCGCCGGCCAAACGAAACGATATTGTGCAAGGGAACTAGGGATTTGGCTTTTCTGCCAATTCGATCCTTTATCCGCTGAAATCTAATTACATCGGCTGGGTATGGCCGATGGAAACAGAGAGAGAGAGAGAGAGGAGGGAGGGGGAAGATATCAGGGAATGGATTTGTCGTTTCGCGCCACAGCGCCACTTTAATGTCGGGAGTAAAAAGGGGAATTCGAAGACATAAACGAGTGAACAAACGGATTATAAAGCTATATACGGCTATAAACTATGCCCTTAAGTTAAATCCCTTATTCTTAGGGGATTCTTAGGATCAGAGTTGGGCATTAATAAAAAGTAAGTTAAAAATTTCGAATAAAGTTTTGAATTTTAAGTAATTATCATTTATTAAAATACTCGAATAATATTTGTTCGTAATTGATCAGCTTTTTATATAATCACGATTACGTTTTGACGGATAAATTATCGATATTACGAGCTTTACTCCTAACCTCAACCATTAAATTTCCCCCATCAGGATTAACCGCAGATTTGTTACACCGTTTCGTTTCTTCCTTCCACTCCACAATAGTTTCAAATTGATCTCAGAGGGATCTATCGTAAATCGAAAGATTAATTCGATTTAAATCTTCTAATAAATTCCCTAATAAATTCCCTAATAAATAATTCTCTTCTCCGTTTCCTCCATTTTTCCAAGAGATAACTATTTCCATACTATATACGTAAATAATAACGCGATCCAAATTTTTGTTATTTTTATAATTTCAAGAATTTTCAAATTGCATATCATTTCCGCGTCTAGTTTTTTTTTTTTTTTATTGAATATTACACGAGGATCGACAGAATTTGGACGAAAAGTACTGTAAATATAAATTACCATAGCCGGCATGGAGGAGGCAGATGGAGGTCACCGAGAGCAGGGCATTGGTCGATATGCCAACGTCTCCTGGCTGCAGGTGCACCTGAGGTCATACGCGACCTAGCGCAACCTGCATCCAGCGTTGCGTGAGCCAACGTTTTTTTTTTTTTTTTTTTTTTTCAATTTCTGTCTAAAAACCGATCGGCATTACCGTCGCTTTCTTTTCTCTCTCTCCTTTTTTCATATGAAACATACGTGTAGATGAGGCCTACATCAATTTCCTTGATGCGCCATAAAAGTTTTTTTCGAAGTTTTTCTTTTTTTTTTTTTCATTTGATTTCCAGTTCTCTCTATCTCTCTTGTATTGTCATCGTCTCTTATATTAAGTTAAAGATAGAAATATATATATAGAGCGCAATGGGAGCAATATCAGCCGAAGGGCAGAACTTATCGAACTTATGTTTCCATCTCTTGGGCGCGAAAAAATTGTAATTTCCATTCTTCCTAGTTTTTTCCCCAAGCTCGCTCCATCTTTTCCTTATCCGCATCTTAAAAGTCTTGAGATTCGTCCATATCCTCTCCGCGATATCGTCCATTCTCGATTCTACGT